TTCTGTAGGTTAACTTCTTTCTATTGTAATTCTGCTACTGAATAATGAAGAGTAGTATAGGTATCACTGTCAAGGTTGGATTTGATAGTTTCAATAAATTAAGCATTGAGTGGAAAGTTAATAATAAGTATATTTTTGTTTTATCCCAACGAGTAGAAAAGTTTTATTTATGACATTGAATGACTTAATGTAAGCCACTTCTTCGGAGTAAATAAATAACCGAATCAAATTGAGATTATTATTGAAGAGTAGTGCGTTTAGCTGATTAATAATAATTCCCCAAACTAACGACCACTAACGACTTTTTTTGTTAGGATAACCGAAGTTTATTTAGTGACCGTAATCTCCGTTTTTTTCAATATATATATATATATATATATATATATATATATATATATATATATATATATATATATATATATATATATATATATATATATATATATATATATATAATGCCTTTTAGTTTCTACACGCTCTTTCTCTACACCCTTTTGTTTACTCTTCCTGTTTGCTTTTTTTTTTCACATTTAGACATTAGTATCACGTAATACTAGTAAGATGAACTGTTTAATTAATTCATCAGATTTAATGTATCCTATTTATCAAAATGATGCTGTAGGTGATTATGATAGTGATTTGAATGGAAATAATTCTTCCATATCTTCATCACATGGTAGTTCAGATGATGATGAAACTGCAGCCATGTTAACTAGTCCAGATAGTTTAGATTCAAATTCATCTCCTGAAGATTTATTAGTTCATCGACTTTCTGGTCAGTGTCACACTTCATTTGATCTTACAGAATGGGAAGAGTATATAGCACCTAATGTACAAACTGTTATCAGTGATGTGAATTCAAATTTTAGCAGAATAAGTGAAAAAACACAACGCCGTGTATTTGCGCATTTGGAAGAGGTTGTATTCGATGTGAGTAATACCACAACATGATGTAAATTAATAAATCTTTTTCGTTGTAACCAAGCCCTATATATATTTGAAATTTTTCATTCGGTTTGTTAAATTTAATTATATTTTAATCGTTTGAGTAGTTGTATTATAAATAAATAATGCTTATTGATTTTTTTATTGTGGAAATCTAACGACCTGGATACATAGACCGTCGAGATCTTTAGGAGAAATTCGTGTACGACACAAAATGCATTAGTTAAATTTAAACATTGATTATTTTGATAGTGTGATCCAGTCCATCAACTAAGAGTTGGATTTGTGAAATAGATATATATCCTTTGCTTTGTCTTTTATTGAATGTATAATCATCAACTAGTAAAGATTCTAGTGCATTATTACTTAAGTTCAGTTTTGAAGTTATTAGCTGTTTAATGAGGAAGTAAGGTTGAAAATATTCAAGTGTAGTTTACCGAGTAAAGGAGTTAATTTAATGAAATACGTACAATGGCCGACATGGTTATTGTTATCCGGTTACTTTACAAATTAATTCATAAAAGACTACTTATCTTACTTAGTAACATGAAAATAACTTTTATGAAAAATTAAAATGCCAGTACAGATGTGATTTGTTATTGAAGTAGTTTAAATTAAGCTTATTACAACTTATTTTACTAGTGTTATTTTTTTTATAGATTCCACTTGATGGGATGCTTCATGAAAAAAAATGTACACATAACAGCTCTTCTCCAGTACTTGCTCCTTTCTTCCCTCCTGACGAACCTGATTTACTACTTGTTTACTATATCAAAAATAATCTTGATTCGAATTTATACGAAACATCTGAAGAATTTAATGCAGTAAATCTTATTGAAATTATAGATGTAACTACTGGATATCGAATTCCCATACCATCGATAAATCAATCATCCTGTGAGCATACATGTTCAACTGGATTTAGTTCTTCTGTTCTCAATAAGCTTACATCTTGTTGTCCTCAAAACTACAAAGTTTCATCATCTCATTACAGAAAAAAATTGATTCATGAACTGAATAATTGTCTTATGGCTGGGCGATTAGAAAGTCTGAAATTGTTAGTCGATCCGCAAGGTGGCTATTCTGTATATTGGTAGATTGTACAGAATTTTTTGTTACAAACTCTCTAACTAGATCAATGTATCATCTGTTTTCTTTTTTCTTTACACTTTTTACTATAAAATAAAATAGAATTCTGCTACTTGGAGTTTTATTTCGTCTGTTTATTGTATGTTTGTGTTTACATGTATAAGTGTATTTTTATGCACAATGTCAGTTTCTTAGATGAAAAAAATCAGTTCCTAATGTTAGCCATGTTTTCTGGTCGTATATGATGCTTCTCTCAGCTCAGCTTTTATTATTAGAATTTTCCATTTATCTTAGTCAATATTTTGAGTAAAACTGGGACGAAATATTTGGGTTATATGAATATTCCGTGCTATCCTCGTCTTACGTTCCTACTTTGTGGTATGCTGAGGGATCTAATTAGTTCATGGAGAATGAGTCATTCTCAAAGCTGTACATTTCTAGTATATATCACTCTTGATTTTTAGTTCAATTTTGGTGCCTTTAGAGAAAAAAGGGATCAGTAGCAGGATTTCAGTCCAATCAAATGGTAATGTAGATGTATAGCGATATATATATATATATATATATATATATATATATATATATATATATATATATATATATAAAATTTAAACTTAAAAATAATTACCACCTACTTAAAGTTTACACAATAATCACAAAGAAATCTCATGCACTGTTACATTGCTTAGTAGTAAACCATATATACTATACATAAAATCAACGTAAACCTCTTTTCGTGATCTATATTTAACAGCTTTATAATAAAATGAAATTTAAGCACTTAACAAAACTCTAGGGAACAGTGTGAGCCGATCGAAACTGCTATACATATAAAACGCGTTGTATTGCTGTATTTGTGGCCCCACTTCTCCCCAATCTAGTGTACATTTCTATATTTACAATAGTTCCTAGGTTGGTCTATTCTCTACCTTATAAATCAGCATGAGTTATACTAATAATACCATGTCTTCAGTATTTCTGATACATTCTGTTACACGTCTCTGCAAAACTTCTATCTCTTCGAGTCCTTGAATTTATACAAACCTCTTTAGCATACTAGCAGTCTAATATAAATGTATGCTATAATACCTGTACAGAGTCTGTTCGACCTGTTCAGTTCCCAAAAGAATTATTCACTTTTATATTCGTTTATCGCCTATCATAAATGAGTTACTCCTAAATCGAACAGATATATATCTGTGGAAAGCACAAACATAAGCTAGCATTCTAAATCTTGTGAAGTTTGTGGTAAATTTACTGATCATTCGTTTCAGTGAGATAAAAATTCCACTTTGAGCATAATAAGGGTTGATTTAGTGAAAATAGAATCTAACCCTTCATCAATCTACACGAACACCCAAGTTTTACAATAATTAATAAAATAAATATCACTCAAAGTGTGCTAGTGGTGAGTTTACTAACCATCAAAATAAATTCCATCTCAAGAATTAGGATAAAAAAACAACCTGGTAGAGTACAAATGTTTTATGATATAAATTGGTCCTGTTTCAGTAAATTGATCACAAAATACATAGAATCCAACAGTAGTATTCAGTGGTTAAATATTAACAGTAAGCCAAAGAGACAAAAGTTCTGGCAGAAATAGGGAAAACAGGTCATTTTTGCATCGTCCCAGTCCATTGGATATAGGTGTTAAATCAAAAAATCAAGGTATGTTGTTGGCCAAAACAATTAGATTCTGCACCTATGTTTGGGTAAAACATCACTTTATCAAGTTGATTACCAACAACTCTGTTTGTGGTTAGTAAACGTTTCAAGAAACTACAACAAGCTGACTTGTGCGATAAGCAAGTTTTAAGTGCTTCCTGTAAGTTCTTTCGATTTTCAGTGTTATTGAGTGGATATCAGGATAAAATACCCTAACATCCTTTTTTCAGTCATAATGTAAGCCTTTCCAATATCCGAAAATGGATTTGCCAAATTGTGTTCATTGCACCTGGTCTTGTAAGTATATTTAAGCTTGAAAGTGAACATTGGGAAGGAGAATAAAAAAATACAGGGTTATTTTCATAAGTGCTTTTACGATGTCTCTAATGATATCGCAGTAGTTTTGTAAAGACTTGTCACATTAGGCTATATATATTAACATATTTTGGATTTAAGGCATATGTATCCGTGTAGAGCTATGATAAAGGAACAGTTGGTAAGATAATCCACCTGATTTCTAGTTATTTTATTTAATTTCTTTTTCCTGTCATCAGGTTTATTGTGTTTTAGATAATTATGATTAATATTTAACGACTATCTGGATGTTATAGATCATCCGGTTATTTCAACGTTTCATTAATCCAGAGTAATTACTAATTAACATCTTGTTTGGACCAAGGAAATACTAATTCATTCAGCAAATATCGTTGTAATATCAATCATGTTCTCCTTAATATATATTTATATGGTGCACAGTGTCATTATCAATTCATAGTCACTATTATTACTGAGGAACAAGGGACGTTCAAGTATAATCATAATCAAATGTCATGAACCTTGTTTCGACTTTAACTTGAATTATCAATAAATTAATGATTTATATGTGGCCACTTTTTTGTAATTGAAAGGTAAACTATGTACTCCCATTTTTAATCCAGATATCAATCAATTGGTGTGTAATGCCATTCCATTCAATACAAAGTGCATCTGTCACCTAACTAAATTTATTCAAAGAATGGTCTCCACAAGGATAACTTATTGTTTAGTCGAGTAAACGAGTACTCTTTGAAAAGTTTTCTGTACTATGATGAAAAAACGTTCATTTTCTTATTATCTATCAAGCACGTTATCTTGATACCTACACATTGAGCATTAAACGGTCATATGATTACAAAAATCATAAAAACTATCACTCTGTTAATAATGATATTATGAATTATAAAATTTTCCAGGTCATACTTGTTCAAATCTTCGATTTTATTAAGATCTGTATTTTTTTTTGTTGCTTTCCACTTGTAGGTTTCATTGGGGAGACACGCATTTAATCAGTCCCTTTCATTGAATGGTTATTCATTATGAATGAAATTAATTTTTTTGATCCGTTGGAAGGTAATATATACTAATAAATAAATAAATTAAACATTTTTCTGTTTTTATGTAGGTAATGATACATTACCATTATATTGTATCTGTTGTCTTGATTATGGTTCTCTACCTACCATATTATTACATAGTCTACCTGTGAAGGTGCAACGATTGATTGTAAATCGTTTAGCTCACACAAACCTACCACAATTCATTCTAACAACTCATAAAGGAGGTCATTGGTCTTTGGTCCAATTACATTATACCAGTCATAATATTAATGACAATAATAGTAATAATAATAATAATTCACAAACAATTCCGTCAAATTCTACTCCATCTCTGAATGAATCTCATATGGCTAATTGTTTGGATAGTTTGAACGAGCTAAAGGATGTTGATTCAGAGTACGTGTGAATTCTGTAATATTTTTAGTGTTATTATTTCTGTTTGGATTATAAGCACAAATTTAATAAACTTCATGATAGACTTTAAAATAGTGTGTACGATATTAGGGATTATTGTGACTTCCTTGATTCAGTACTCTCATTAATTTTATTATCGTGTCTTACAGTAATCAGTCCATTATTCATTGTCACACTTTTGTTTTTTAAGTATTTGTGAAGTTAAAACTCCTAGTTTTTATCAAAAACCATTGTTTGCAGCCATATAAGCATAATAATTTGAGGTTTAGTTTATTCCCTAACAACCGCTCTTCTTTTAATGAATATTGTTGTATCGCGAATGTAGCTTCAATAATTGACCTTTTGTTGAATAATAGGTGTTAAATGCTAATGGAATCCAGTAACCATGTTTAAGTTTTTGTATACTAAGTGTTTGGTTGCACTAGCTGCATAAGTTGGGTATATCATTAATGAATGTCCAAATACAAGCTGTTATATCAAGCCTAGTTTAAACATATAATCCAGTGATTGAAACCCCTCGACGTAATGATCAAAGACAACGTGTTCCTGTTATGTTGTGATGTTGGTAAAATGTTGCGTTTCTTAATCATCCTAAGCAAAAATCTAATCGGTCGTCAAGATAAGTCTTATATTTATTGAACATGAAATGCTATTCAAAGAGTTGTTCACATCAGGACATAGCTTAACTATTCAGATAGTATTCGGTCATTAGATTGATTGTTGACTTTTATCTTAATATCTTGACTGTCTTAGGGTAATCGTAAACGAAGTTGGTTTTTAAAATTTTTCCTAACCTTTAGCAAACTATCTTTCCAAAACAATAATAACCCTGAATAAAGGTTCAGTATGCTACCAACTGGTACACTCCACTGTACTTTGCGACTGGAGCTATGCGGATAAAGTGAGTGGTATGGGAATGTTGCATGACCTTTGTAGTTGAAGCATCACACCCCCGTGTAAGTATCACCGAGTGCTCTGTAATGACGTTTAGTGTAGGATTTTAGGTATGACGAAGTTGTTAGTCTATTTATGCACTACACTCTCAGCATCTAACTCATTGATCGGTGAAGTACTAGAAAAAAATCTACCTCTCAGAGGTTAGACTAAGATAAGCTTCCAGTTTATTAACTTACAGACTGCTAGATTAAAAAAATTACAAATAGTTCTTGGTTTACTTTTCAAGATCAAAGCGACATATTGATGCACTTGTTAAATAATTTTCCTCCAGTTCAAAATCAATGTCAGTACAAAGGTACATTTATTTCTAATTCTTCTATAAGCTCTTGAAATTTCATTGTTGTATACAGTTTTATTCAATAGTTTATTCAATATTATTTTAGTAAATCTGTTTCTGGAGGTTTTTTTATAGTGTCTTCACTGCAAAGTGTTGTTTTTAAAATTTTGTCGATGCACTTATTCTACTTCGGTGTTAGATCACCTGTGTGCACAAATTGTGTATCATCAATTGAATTCAACCTAGATCCATATACTACTGCGTATTTTTCCGATTCTTACGTGAAATTTATGTTGACAACCAAAACATCAGACAAAAATTGGCACTGTCCATTTTGTAAAGCCAGCTACAGTCTTAGTAAGTTGTTATTAATAAAAGAGAAATTAAAACATTAGTAAATAAATTTAATAATCATCCCGTTATTGTTTCGTTTCAATAAGATATATACATGTATTACAATAATTTTAGCTTAATATACAACAAAATCGATGCTATTATAAGTTTTCATCATATCTGTATTAATTCATATTTCTGAGGACAGATCGCTGAGGTGCAATAGAACATACAAACTTTTTTAATAGATCATTTGAACGACCAAATTAATCAACTTCTGTTAGCTTTTAAATATGTTATAACGCTCGAAGTTTCCTCGTCTTTATGAATCGGACGTTAATTTGCCTTAGACGAATATCTACAGCAGATTTCTTTCCAGTGGCCATTCTACAGGACCTTAACACAACACATGATTAGTCTGACTAGAACGTAAATATATTTGCACATCAAAAAACGGCCACAATCCGACACAATCCAACAACAACCAATAATAATAAGAATAGCAGAGTATATACCTCATCTAACGCCTGTCAGATTATCTACAAGTCTAACTAAGCAAACTACCAATCATTATCATTCTCGTCTACACATCAAAATCCTATGTGCTGTAGTTCATAGATTCCCCTCAAATGCCCTGGTACGACCGAGAATGGGGTGAGTCTGCTCTCCCTCTCAAAATGCTCTCAAGTGACCACGTGCATGCAAACACTGGCAGGGAAGTCCTACTCACTGCCTTCTCGTAGCGGGGATTTTGTTTACGAAACCGAGAGGACGAAAAGCGAGTATCCGGTACTTTAACCGGGTCGGTGGATACAGAGAATCCACCTAGGGGAGTTGGCAAACACTTATTCCAAACCAGTGGTGCACATGGGTTCTAGGATCCTAAGGAAACAAATGGCGTATGAATCTATTGTTGGTCACTGGCTACCATGGGACTGTATCTCCTGATTTTGTTCCACTGTCTTGTGGATTAGACCTTTAGGTCAAAGGATCCGGGTGTGGCCCCTTAAGTAAACCATCTGCTCCGGTCTGGGCACCCGGGCAGTATATTAGCCCTCACATAAATCGAATGATTTGTGTGGCGCATATCTGTTCGGTGCCTCCTTGTACCAATGTTTATGTGTTTAAATAAGTAAATAAAAATTCAGAAACATTGAAATTCAATAAAAACATACTTTTATTTAATGTCGCTATTTGAATATATCTGTACCAGTACGGTAACCCGTAAGGTTAGGAAACGACATTGAATCTCAGCAGCATCTATCTCACTGATAGATGTTCGGAAACTCATTCCACCTGGCTCTAAACATAATAAAGAGCGGAGTCAGCTTAAGCGCAAGCTGACAAGAAGTCTACGCAATGATCGTGAACAGTGGTGGGTAGGGAAAGCAAGAGAGATGGAAAAGGCAGCGGCAATAGGTAATAGCAAACAATTGTTCAGACTTGTTAAGAAAACTGATATTAGGAAACCGACTGTTAGCGAAACACTCTCAGAGAAAGATGGACATATTATACATTCTCAATCCAGGAGATTGGATCGATGGGCAGAACACTTTAGGGATCAGTTCAACTGGCCTTCAGCCACACCTCGGTTTCCCACGATCTCCAGTCAACCTGAATGGCAAGTTAATGTAGGTCCTTCGTCTCTTTACAAAGTTGAAAAAGCCATAGGAAATCTGAAGCGAGGGAGAGCAGCAGGCCCTGACAGGTTCACTCCTGAGATTTTTAAGGATGGTGGTTCAATATTAGCAGTGAGACTAACTGAGGTCTTAGGTAGAATTTGGGAACTGGACGTAATCCCATCTGACTGGTCTCAATCACTGATTGTGCCAGTTTTTAAGAAAGGGCAAAAGTCCTCTTGTGACAATCACAGAGGAATCGGTTTGACTAATATAGTGTTTAAAATATTGGCTTCAATAATACTTCGACGCCTAACTAAAGCTCGTGAAGAGCAAACTCGAGAAAATCAGGCCTGTTTTCGACCTGGACGTGGTTTTATAGACCAAATATTCACACTACGTTAGGTTCTAGAACATAAACACAGGTTTAGACGCCCCACAATGGTAGTATTTCTCGACCTTAAGGCGGCATTCGACTCTGTTGACCGTAAGGTTCTATGGCAGTGTTTGTCACTGAAAGGAGTACCAAAGAAGTACATTGACCTTATTCAGGCCCTCTACTCGAACACAACTGGTAGAGTGAGAGCTTATGGTGAACTGTCATCAGAATTAATTACCTCAAGTGGTGTTCGTCAGGGCTGCCCACTCTCTCCATTCTTGTTCAACTTTGTCGTCGAAGTACTTTTAGAGATAACACTCTCCTCATCTAAATTTCCGGGGGTTGAACTTCTACCGGGAGGTTCACTTGTTGACTTAGAATATGCTGATGACATAGTTTTATTTGATGAATCCGCTGACAAAATGCAGAGTCTTGTGACCACTCTAAGCAACAATGCAAGCATGTTCGGGATGCGATTCTCTCCCTCGAAATGCAAAATGTTGCTTCAGGATTGGGTTGCATTGACACTCGAACTAATGATAGGGAGTGAAGTAATTGAGCGTGTCGATCGCTTCACTTATCTTGGAAGTCTCATCAGCCCTTAATATCTGGTGTGTGACGAAATCTCAGCACGGATACAGAAGGTTCGACTAGCTTTTACCAACTTGCGTCATTTATGGCGTTGGCGAGATATCCGTCTATCAACCAAAGAATGGGTTTACTGCGCAGCAGTTCGGTGCGTCCTACTTTATGGCAGTGAAAGATGGCCGGTAAGAGTAGAGGATATTCGTAGGTTACTAGTATTTGATCATAGGTGTCTTCGAAATATTGCTCGTATATCCTGGGACCATCGAGAAAGTAATGCAGTTGTTAGAAAACGGGTACTAGGTAAGGATGGCAAATCAGTTGATGACGTAATGAAACTTCATCAGTTGAGATGGCTGGGACACGTGTTACGTATGCCCAACGACCGACTGCCTCGACGTGCGATGCTCAATTGTATAGGAGTAGATTGGAAGAAAGCTAGGGGCGGCCAGACCAAAACATGGCACAAGTCCATGAAGTCACTGACAAGTGGTCTGAGTCATGTTGGTAGGTGTAGACTACCTGGTTGGGGACCGCGAGATGATAGCAACCGATGGTTAGAGATCCTGAATGACATGGCTCAAAATCGTTTGCAATGGCGCAGGTGCATCCACTCTTTGTGTTCTCTCGAATTCTCATCTTCTGAATTCTTCATGTCCCTTTTTACCTCTTTCCAAATTTATTTCACTGTATTATACTCCATGAATAACATCTCCAAACACTAATCTTCCCGATTACTGCTTATACTCTTACTACCTCTACCACTACGGGATTTGAATCGACCACGGCATCTCTGTGCTAATGTGGTATGGCAACTCGAACTGATGTATGTACGTACGAAGTTCTACGTTGTTACTGACTGACTAACTGATACCAGTTTCTTAATAGGCACTTAAATATTCACAACATTTAAGTAGATCAAAATAAAATCTAACCTTACCAAACCAAGTTGCACATATCGCATTTCAATTTGAACTTTTGTAATTTTAATGAAAATTATTGTTATCACTTTATTCCCGTATTATGCGTAAATGATATGAGGAAGAAATTTACATTTTTAGGTGTCTTTTCAAAAACATTTGTTTCTAGCCGTTTGAACTGTTGTCACAATCAGTGCTGTAGAATGTTCTTTCAAATAAGGTATATATTTATTATGTTCAGTCTATTTTTATTTACACCCTTGCTATACTATACGAATATGTCTTCAATATAAATTCCAACCAAACTCTTTCATGTAAGTAATTTAAACCCATTATGTAATTATGATTTAAAATATCACAGGTTGTAAGCAGCTGACGAGGACCTACGAAATAAAAATGAATTCACGCTATTCCGCTAGAATCCTTGCTCTTTCTCTTTTCAAAATGATAAAGGGAACTATGTGTGTGCGAGGGAAATAAGTGATTGGTTGTTTTCCTAGACAGACTGGTAGATAGTCTGACAGGTATTTGATGTGTCAATTATATTTCCATACCCTTGTACCTACTTGATTGTCGGATGTTGATTGTTGGCTTACACACTTACTGGTCAGGTGAATCAACTGTTCTTGATTTGAGTTGTGTTGAAGCCTGGTAGAACAGTACTAACTGGGTATCGAGCATAGGGCGCGTGAATCGCATAGGCAGGTCAGTCGTTCATTGCTCGTGGTAAGCGAAATAATGTTCGATTGGTGTTTAGAAGAAAAACGACCGTTTTTTCACTGGTTGTCTAACTAAAATCAGTTCGTTGTGTGAACTTTGAAATTTATCAATCTTCAAACCTCCCCTATGGCAATCAGACACTCATTGAAATACTAGGAACAAGTAGTGTTTATTAATGAGTTTTTTTACTGTTCACGACTTAGAATTTTTAATACAATATTGTTATATCTATATATTTCATTTAATAAAACTCTAGTTAGCAGTGATCGAGTGAATATTTTAGAACGACATTTACGCTTACATGCGGAAATTCGTTGTTGTGTAGATTGTGTAACCATATTACCAAATAATACATATTCACTTAATTGTGAATCAGCATGTATACATAATTGTGATGAATTGGTTAGTTCTCAAATCAAAGACGATTATCAACAATATCAATATGCTAACAGCAATTCCATCGACTTGCCTCACAAGACAATGAATTTACCTGCACCTGGTAAGTGCACATATTTTTCTTTTAGCTTTTCTTACATGTATTACTTATAAAATTTATTGTTAAGTAGCTTTAAAATAGTCATTTTCAATCAGATATTAAATGGAATGAAAACAATATTTTAATTCGCATTTGAGTTATATCTCTTTGATCTAACAGGACTTCTTATAATCCCTTTACCTATTAAGACTGTATTGGAAATTATTACAAGCAGAGATATGTGATCTTGAAGTACACCGAACAACAAGTTCGTATCTAAAGTCGAAGGACAAAAGTTACATTATTATTATTCTGTTCACTCACTAATATGGACAAATTACAAGTACGTCAATGGTGCTTCCCACATAGATTGTCTCTTCCCCAGTCATGTTGGTTTCGTGGGCTGCTGGTGTATGAGCAGTTAATATCAGCACATATTATGGAACGGATCTCAGTAATTCAAATAAGCACTAATAAACATTCTTCATAAGTAAATGCTTTAAGAATATTGAACATATTTTTTGAAAACTACTGGGTTTTTTTTGAAATTTATTGTAGCTCAAACTGCACTTATAAATTTACCAGTAGATATTTTTTTGTAATTATTATTTTGGGGATTCCCTACTGTACCAAACATATCGTAATGAACTGGGCAATTATTAGTATAATATGTTATGTGTAACATGAGATATAGGAAATATGTCTAACGTACAATCTAAAAATTTGAAGCAACTGCATTATTTATCTAACATGACTTTGTTTCTGAGCTGAATTCTGGAAAACCAGTCTAGGATTCTGTCATATTTGGGAGTGCGGATAAAACTTGATATTTTGAAAGTTAAGAAATCATAGTCGAAGTGGAACATCTTTGTGTACAATTTAACGAAACATGACCTTGGAACACGGAATTAAACCCACTAATAGTCGTAAAAACCAATCAGAAGTAGTAAAGGCTGTAGGGAAATATGAATTATGAAAAGTGTTGCATAAGTCCCGTTACCAAAAGAATTCACATTTATTAACAAAACTTAGACGACTTGGGTTAATGTCTGATAATCCTATTTTATTAGTCTAACTACTTGACAAAGAAGCACTTGAAACTTGCGAAAGCCCTCTACTCGAACACTGTTGCACGAGTCCGAGATTACGGCGAACTGTCACCAGAATTGTCAGCTTAAATTGGTGTTCGTCAGAGTCACTCGCAATCCCTTTTTTTATTTAATTTTGTCATATATATCTTTCTAGAAATCTCACTTTCTTCTTGAGGGTTGAAGTTCTACCACAAGTTCACTCATCGCCATCAAATACGTCGACCATCTAGTATTACTTCGTCAAGATGCTGACAAAACGTAGTGTTTTGATTGCCTTGAGCAATAATATAAACACATGTGGACGCGTTTCTTTCCCTTCAACTACTAAATATAGTTTCAGGACCGGACTGTATCAACGTTAAATCTGAAGTAGCGCGTCAATCACTTCACTTATCTTGGAATTCTAGTCAGCCATGAGGGATGGGTGTCTGACCAAATCTCAGCACGGATTTAGAAGGCTTGTTTGGTCTTCGCCAACTTGCGCCACTGGTCGCGTAGGTGAGATGTTCGTTTGTCAAACAAAAAGCGCATATACTGTGCATCAGTCAGATGTCTTACTATACAGCCATAAAATTTTGGCTTTGAAAGTAAAAGACATTCATAGTTTGCAGAATTTCGATCGTAGGTGTCTTCGAAGCATTGTTTGCTTATTGTGAAACAATTGAGTGAGCAATATTAAGGTTTGGCACAGGGTACTTGTCAGAGATGGGAAGTCGAGTATTAATGTAATTTTTAATCGACCGAAATCCAAGTTGTGGCGTATGTCCATGAAGTCAGTGAATCATATTAACAGATACAGACTACATGCTTGGTATCTTCGTCGTAATGATGAACACTGGTTGCAGATTGTGACATGGTTTAGTACCGTTCATAATGGGATAGGTGCATTTACTCTTTGTCTTCCTCTAGAACTTGAATTCTTTTTACAATACAATTTCTTCTGTTTTTTAAATAATGTTCTCAATGTTTGGTTTTTTTAAAATTATAATTGCTGCCACATTATCTTGACTTCTGTTGCATTTTATCGTGTTATGTTCACGTCATCATGCGAATTTAGTATAGTTACATGGGTCAAACACATATGTGCCAGGCTCTACGTTGATAAGTAACGGAGTCGAACTAGTCATCTTTCATGTTGATCAATTCGAAATTCAGAAAGTCATCTTATCGATAAACCTTTATGAAAGTCTATAGAAGCGTTTTACTTTTTTCGGCTTTATAGCAAAACAGTTTAATCCATTTCATTCAGTGCATATGTTATTCAGACTGACTTGACATATTAGCTATCATCCCTATACAAATGTTAATTACAAATTCATCCCGTTTTAACAGTAAGTTTAACGAGAACACAAATAATTTGTGTGATGTCTAATCTTCAATTTTATTTAAATATTGTTGTGTTAATTTCAGTTGATTATAAATGTTTAGCCGTTAGATAAAAGTATTCTCTTCTTACGTTCTCTATTTCCTTATAACATAAGAGATAAATAAAAGTTCTTAACTTACATATAAGGTTTTGAGTGAGTACAAAGAAATGTTTGATGAGCTTGTTAATTATTCCCTTTAGAAGGTGATCATAGTACTGATTAATTTTCGTTGGTCTCTAAATTTTATCTACGCTTGATATTCCTACTTGTTGATTGTGTCTAAGAAAACCGTTCATTACATTGCAAATGATGGTAATTTTCTTTTATTAATGTCTTCCAAAATTTCGCTTTTCTACATAAAACTAATGTAAATTACCCTACAAAAACAATCATTTCACATTCAAATTATATTTATATAGATGATTGTAATGATCAACCAGAAAATAATGATGTATTTCCCACATTTCACCGTGATAATAGTCAAATTCAACTTCGAAAATGTGATGTACCTCTGAACTCGATTGCTAAAACTTCGTGTACATATTTTAGTGCCGGGAATTGGCGACGAATTTGCACAGTATGTTTCATTAGTTTTGATTGTTTACATAATTTTCTAAAATTATATTTCTTGAGGATATTTCTATATTTGTATGTATGATGTATGTATGTATGATGTGACAATTTTTCAATAAATTTTTTATTTCTAAATCTTACATTCCGCATTCTCTACTTTTTGTTGTGTCACTCTTTTAGACCCGTAAGTTATGTTTTTCCTATAACGTAACTCGTGTATTCTCGAGCTGACATTTATTGTATTACTGGTCTAGTAATCCATCAGCTAATCTATTGAATCTAATCACTAATCATACTTTTTAAACTATTGATTCCTTCGAGGTACTTTTATGTCAGTGAATGAAAACTGCCTTATTATATCCCATTACAATAACGTTTTGGTTCAACGTTTAATTTCTAAACAAGTCTAGACATGATTTTTTTTAAAATATGGTGATCTTAATTATAAACGCTATGTTATGTATCGTCATAAAAGCCTGAAGCAAAATTTACACTACATTTATCAGAAATTAGATGACCTATAATAACACAACTCTTCAAATAACAAGAGAGATTCAATTTATCATTTCCTCTAAAAGTTTATCCCCTTGTATTTTTTTTGTGAAAAGGTATTGCAACACTGGTAGTTAGATTATTGTCGCCTTTGGTCGTACGCTTACCTGAATTACTCAAATCAGTTAACTAAGTATTATTATTTAATGCATTATTTAATTACTTCTGTTTAATTATTGATTTATAGAAGTGTAAAGTCGGCTTCAAAACACCGGCACACTATCAACAACATTTAAAAAATGTTCATCGAGGTAAAAAGTTTCTTTGTCAAGATTGTGGTAAGTTAAAATTTATGATGAACTGAATAAAAGCCCTTGAATTGATTATTCTTACATGACAATTTGTTTGTGAAATTCTCTGGGTTTACACTTACATTTTAAGACTGAATTATAACGAGTATTATATTTATTCGTGAATTTCAACATTGAATAGCATCATTTATGATGATACAATTTACTTAACAATTACACGTTTACGTATTCGGCTTCTCCCGACCGAAGCTGCTACCTTAACGCGGTGGTCGGGCTTGCCTATCGTGATGACCCAACCGAGCTATATTGGCTGGAACATATGTTCCTGTAGGTTCTACCATGCCAGGACGGTCGATTGGAGAACGGTAAAACTAAAGGCAGCATCTCAAGGTCTGAGGGCGAAGTCGTACTGCTGACTGTAGAGGGGTGTGATAGCAGTAAGGTGTTTCCCTCGGACAACCAGCATCTGCAGCGGTGCTGCTTTCCCACAAGGAGGGGTGGGGTTAGAAAAGGTCGACCCTAAAAATATCACACCTCACCTTGCCTCACGGGTTTCCGTCTCCGGCGGTAAAACCCTTTGAAGAACGGAGCTAACTCATTAAAAACCTTCCACAAAAGGGCCGTGCGCGACCGGCCTCAAGCAGTTGTCCCTTGGGCTCTGCGGTCACGCTTACAGGCCGTTAAGACCAACACTAATCCGACTTCCTTTTCAGGTTCCTCAAGAAATACCCTTCCATGGTGTGGGCAGCCGGGAAGTGATATCAGCCCTCATACCCGTAACAGCACACGAGACCAAGTTGGTTACATTCAAATCCTTCCTACACATTCTAATACCTCTCTTATCTCCATGACTAACCCTCCTCACGTTTCTTTATCACCTCGCACCGCTAGGGCAAACGATTCGAGTACGCGGAACGCTATTCCTGGTCTCCTGAAACCACGCTCTGATCTACACGTAGGAGTTTTTAACGTCCGAACACTGTGCCAAATAGGACAACAGGCTTCCTTAGCTAGGACTTTAGAATCCCGCGCCATCGATGTGTGCTGAGTCTCCGAAACGCTCATACAGGATCCGAGTAGCGTCATTCATCTGACCTCACGATGTCAAAATAAAGAACCGACTCGATTCACACTTCGTGTATCTGGAAGCCCTGATTCTGCTTCCTGTGGCCTCACCGGCGTAGGTATAGCATTGAGTCCCAGGGCAGAACTAGCTCTCTTAGAGTGGATCCCAGTAGACAGTCGTTTATGTGCTGTCCCACTGAACGGAACACTAAGGATTCAAAAAGATAGGGACACTCGCCGTTGCCTCTTCGTCGTTTCTGCCTATTCTCGCACTGACTGCAGCTCAGATGATGTGAAAGATGAGTTTTACAGAAAGCTCTCCGACCTCCTAAAAGCTAGGCGCTCGGATGTAGTAATAGTGGCCGGTGACTTTAATGCTCAAGTAGGTAAACTAAGCGATAGGGAAAGACACCTGGGTGGATCTTATAGTATCGTGGCTCAAAGAACAGATAATGGCGACCGTCTGTTGCAGCTATGCTCGGATAACCGCCTCTTTCTTGCAAATACTATTTTTAAGCATAAGGAAAAACATCTTTTAACATGGGGGCCCCCTAATTCGTCCCAACGTTGGACCCAAATATATCACATCGCTATCAGCCACCGATGGAGGGGCTCGATAGAAGACTGTCGCTCATTCTGGAGCACATGCTTAGATTCAGATCACGCTCTAGTACGAGCGCGTATCTGTCTGCGTCTTACTGGGCGTAGGAAAGACGCTGCAAGTAAACCTTATAGGGCTCTACTTAATGATAGTCAAGCTAAGAGTATATTTCAGGAACAACTAGGAAAACAGTTAGGCAGCCATGTAGGTGATGCATACCCCGAGGCACCATGGAATGATATCCGTAAAGCTGTGGAAACAGCAGTGATATCTGCTAGTACAGTAACCCGTAAGGTTAGGAAACGATATTGAATCTCAGCAGCATCCATCTCACTGATAGATGTTCGGAAACTCATTCCACCTGGCTCTAAACATAATGAAGAGCGGAGTCAGCTTAAGCACAAGCTGACAAGAAGTCTACGCAATGATCGTGAACAGTGGTGGGTAGGGAAAGCAAGAGAGATGGAAAAGGCAGCGGCAATAGGTAATAGCAAACAATTGTTCAGACTTGTTAAGAAAACTGATATTAGGAAACCGACTGTTAGCGAAACACTCTCAGAGAAAGATGGACATATTATACATTCTCAATCCAGGAGATTGGATCGATGGGCAGAACACTTTAGGGATCAGTTCAACTGGCCTTCAGCCACACCTCGGTTTCCCACGATCTCCAGTCAACCTGAATGGCAAGTTAATGTAGGTCCTTCGTCTCTTTACAAAGTTGAAAAAGCCATAGGAAATCTGAAGCGAGGGAGAGCAGCAGGCCCTGACAGGTTCACTCCTGAGATTTTTAAGGATGGTGGTTCAATATTAGCAGTGAGACTAACTGAGGTCTTAGGTAGAATTTGGGAACTGGACGTAATCCCATCTGACTGGTCTCAATCACTGATTGTGCCAGTTTTTAAGAAAGGGCAAAAGTCCTCTTGTGACAATCACAGAGGAATCGGTTTGACTAATATAGTGTTTAAAATATTAGCTTCAATAATACTTCGACGCCTAACTAAAGCTCGTGAAGAGCAAACTCGAGAAAATCAGGCCTGTTTTCGACCTGGACGTGGTTTTATAGACCAAATATTCACACTACGTTAGGTTCTAGAACATAAACACAGGTTTAGACGCCCCACAATGGTAGTATTTCTCGACCTTAAGGCGGCATTCGACTCTGTTGACCGTAAGGTTCTATGGCAGTGTTTGTCACTGAAAGGAGTACCAAAGAAGTACATTGACCTTATTCAGGCCCTCTACTCGAACACAACTGGTAGAGTGAGAGCTTATGGCGAACTGTCATCAGAATTAATTACCTCAAGTGGTGTTCGTCAGGGCTGCCCACTCTCTCCATTCTTGTTCAACTTTGTCGTCAACGTACTTTTAGAGATAACGCTCTCCTCATCTAAATTTCCAGGGGTTGAACTTCTACCGGGAGGTTCACTTGTTGACTTAGAATATGCTGATGACATAGTTTTATTTGGTGAAGACGCTGAGAAAATGCAGAGTCTTGTGACCACTCTAAGCAACAATGCAAGCATGTTCGGGATGCGATTCTCTCCCTCGAAATGCAAAATGTTGTTTCAGGATTGGGTTGCATTGACACTCGAACTAATGATAGGGAGTGAAGTAATTGAGCGTGTCGATCGCTTCACTTGTCTTGGAAGTCTCATCAGCCCTTAATATCTGGTGTGTGACGAAATCTCAGCACGGATACAGAAGGTTCGACTAGCTTTTACCAACTTGCGTCATTTATGGCGTTGGCGAGATATCCGTCTATCAACGAAAAAATGGGTTTACTGCGCAGCAGTTCGGTGCGTCCTACTTTATGGCAGTGAAAGATGGCCGGTAAGAATAGAGGATATTCGTAGGTTACTAGTATTTGATCATAGGTGTCTTCGAAATATTGCTCGTATATCCTGGGACTATCGAGAAAGTAATGCAGTTGTTAGAAAACGGGTACTAGGTAAGGATGGCAAATCAGTTGGTGACGTAATGAGACTTCATCAGTTGAGATGGCTGGGACACGTGTTACGTATGCCCAACGACCGACTGCCTCGACGTGCGATGCTCAACGGTATAGGAGTAGGTTGGAAGAAAGCTAGGGGCGGCCAGACCAAAACATGGCTCAAGTCCATGAAGTCACTGACAAGTGGACTGAGTCATGTTGGTAGGTGTAGACTACCTGGTTGGGGACCGCGAGATGATAGCAACCGATGGTTAGAGATCCTGAATGACATGGCTCAAAATCGTTTGCAATGGCGCAGGTGCATCCACTCTTTGTGTTCTCTCGAATTCTCATCTTCTGAATTCTTCATGTCCCTTTTTACCTCTTTCCAAATTTATTTCACTGTATTATACTCCATGAATAACATCTCCAAACACTAATCTTCCCGATTACTGCTTATACTCTTACTACCTCTACCACTACGGGATTTGAATCGACCACGGCATCTCTGTGCTAATGTGGTATGGCAACTCGAACTGATGTATGTACGTACGAAGTTCTACGTTGTTACTGACTGACTGACTATTCGGCTTCTAGCCACACTGTTTTTGTAGGACGAAGTGATTCTGTCTATGTATCCAAATTGAACTAAATGTATTGAGGTTTCGAACCTGTTGGTTGTTTTAAGCTCAGTATTTTAACCACTAACCCATCATTATCATCATTATTCTCCAATTAATGTGTATCCAGAAATATTTTTTTATCTCAGGATAGTTTTCATTATAGACAGATTGAATAGGACTTTCTCTTCACGATACCATCTGCTTAACAGTTGTTTGGGTATTCTACCAACTTTCCATATGTTACTATTTTTATGCATAATTTTCTAGTTTTCTTTTAATATGTCACTACATTTCTCATATTACTAACTGATACAAACCAGTAATCGAATAAAAATTGCTTTACTCCTCGTTTTGTATTGTAGGCTAGTGATTGCTAACCCCATTTACAAATATATGTAGACAAAACAATGTTGAACTTAAAACTCAACTATTGAAAATCAGTTGATTATAAAGGGACAATTGAAAGTTTTTTAACCAAAAATGATTTTAATAGGTATAGAATTATGAGACAATGCCCCTTACGCTTTATTGTGGTACCATTTGACTACATATGTCACAATATCATTATGAAGTATATATTTCAATCACCACGGTTTACTCATATTATTGTGGTGAAATTGTTTTGTAATAATTACCGTTGAATAACTTATTTGTTTATCATGTGGTGAACTATATCGGTTTGCTTGATTTTCAGGTGTTTTTTTCAGTACGAAAGGGAATTTAACGACACATTTTAACCAAATTCATAATCAAAATGCCAGTTTACCGTGTCCTATCTGTGAGAAATATCTTAGTAATAGGTAATTTCGAGTGTCTGTTATTTTTATTTCATCTATAATACTTCAAGGCAGCAGGAATAAAATTTTTGGTCTCTCCCTCAAGCTGTCATCAAGTTCTTAACCACTTGGTAAAAAATAAAATCTATACTATTAGAATAGTGTTTATAAAAATGATTGAATTTTATGGTATCACCAATTACTTAAAGTTATGAATGGAAACCACTTAATCTTGATTCAGTGATCTGAAGGTTAAGCACTCGTTTAAAGAACTGAAGGTCCCGGGTTCGATCTCGGTGGGATTCGGGACACATCCTTGAGAAGTCCCTTATGAGTACAAAAGATCTGTCCAATACTTTCTGGTTTCCAACACCTATCCAACTAATCTCAATACGTGATGTAAACTCTAGCATTCAAATTGTTTGAAAGACTTTCTTTTATCGTGTATATTATCTATTACACTCAATTATACTATTTTTGTTGATTGGCTTTGGCTGCCATATCCAACTTCGTAGGTAATCATATTTCCTTAAAAATACTTCACTTTTTTGTTACAAAAGATAGTTTTAAATTTTGGTTACCATGCACATTTTATCCCAAAGTAATAAATATAATGGTTGATACGCAATAATGTAATACGGCAAATTGACTAACCATTATGATGTCGAATGAACGACCTAAACACTTTAATAGAATAATGTCAAAAGGCAATATAAGTAGTTAACAGAACAATGTTTTTACTCGAGGAAAATAACATACTTATATGCAAAATAGAAAATTTATAAAAGATTAAGCAATTAAATAAACGTCAGTGATAGTCCTTTAAAGCATATATGACTAGAAAATATGAATATTATAGATTGCTCACGAATGAAATTAACAGCTGACTTTTAGATTTCATCGTTGAGTTTTTTCACAATCTTGTTATATCTCGATATTCGACTACGATTTAGTTTGGTTTTCTTTACGGCAGTTCGTAAATCACTAATGGTCGAGATTATTCTAATGCGAATGGAATCAATTGTAAACTTGAGATAGTAACAACTGATATACAACTATTCAGCATAATCCTCAACTATAAAACCTAAAAGAAAGGCGGCAGTGTAGAGGAAACTTAATATTTGACGACGATAAGACCAAGGTGGAACGACCTTATCTATGTAATAACCTAATATGACCTCAAACATAAGAACGTGAGTAAAAAAAGTGGTAACAACCAACCAAAAAGTCGTTTAGGTTATGTTTGAATAAAGATTTTTAAGAATGATCAGTTTTGTTGTTACCAGAACGAAAACGTATTCACAAGATTGAATAATCCGAGATCTTACTAAATCTATTTATTATAGAATGATTTTTAATAAGCACCAATGCTTATTATTTTGAAAAATAATAATAAATAAATTTATTTATTCCAAGCAAAAAGTTTTGTAGTGTGGTGCTTGATCATTTTATTGAAAAGATTAATACCTGTTTTAAAACAAATGGTCTAGAATTTTCATGCAATTGATTAATCAATTCATTTGTCAGGGCTATTTGGATCTTTTTGTTCATGTTAAAGATTTTAATTGATCAGTCACTTTTGGCACAAGTGCACCTTGTAAGGAATACTTCTTTATCGCTATTAGGTCCCACTGTGAATATCAACTTTGAGTTTTAGGCGCATTCAACAAAAAGCGCGTCATGGATTCTACTGTTTACCACTAACAAGTTTTAAGCAGAGATGGTTACTTATAAGAATTACTAACTGAGGTTCGTCGCGGTATAAATTCTATTTATTCACTTATAGCACGAAAGATGCAACTGACACTGAGAACTATACTATATACAATGAAATTATATTTGTCCTGATTCACAAAGCGTTCGCAGATAATTGATTCCTCCATAGTTTTTGTTGCTTCAGCACTACTGCTGAACTTAAAACTTTAAAATTTCGGTTAAGATAGATTCACGGATTATCTGCATTATACTTTCTATATAAAATAACAGTTTTCGTATTAAAAATCCAGTTGTGAGTTATCTATTTCTTATCATTACGTAAATCTATAATCTTTTTTGTTTAATTAGATTTAATTTAGATCGCCATATACGTTCAGTTCATTCAGATTATGAGATTTCCTCAAATTCATCTTTAAAAGTAAATAGTGTTCCAGTCTCTAATAATAATGAAGATGCACATCTAACTAACTCTATGACTGTTGAAAATCCGAATGAACCTCCACGTGGATATTATCTTTATTTATCTGATTCTGATTGTCAACAATCAATCAACACAAATTCACCAACATCATATATAAATTCAAATGAAAATACACAATCTGTATTGCCATTAATTTCTCCGACAGTCGATTCAAAATCTGTCTCATTAGTAGCAGATATTAGCCTAACACCATGTGGTCCATCAAATCCAGATGCCCAACTTGGCGTTGGCGGTAAATTGTGGAAGCAAAATATAAATTTTGTACAGTCTCCAAAATCTACTATTTCTAAAAGTTTCCATCTATGTTAGATAACATTAGTTGATGGTTGCCATTTTTGCCTTTTCGTTGTTGTTAGACCTTTAATTCTACACTTTCTTTTTGTTCTAAAAAGGAAATATTAAAGTACTCTACGATAATTATTTATACGTAAATCAAACCCGTCTAATTATCACTGTACATAGTAGGGAAACGTAACTAGCTTGAAACATTGACAGTTAATAGGTATTTCTACAATGTAAAATCTTCTTGTATTATGTAACTGAAGATTTTCACTATAAAGAAAATTACAGTTGATTGATTGGGAATTGGATTTATTTGTAATCCGTTGTAAAATAATCAGGTTACTTACAGGGATATTCGTTTCTATAATATCAGTTTCCATTTTCCTAGTCATTATTTAGGCATTAGGTATAAGCACTCAATATTTAGCTCGAAACCTGATTGGCATTCATAGCTACTAAGTGTTAAACGTAAGCATTTTTAAGCTAAAATTATGTAATTCTTTACAACACCAAAACAGCTTTCTCACTGAATAACATAACTCCTAAAAGCCCTAAATAAATATATATTCTTGTGAATTCAAAACATACATACTATTGAAATATAAGCTACATTATGTAGCTGACAGTGTTCCGTATTTTCTTGTTATACCGAATATCGTATGATAGTCGTCATCAAATTCTATAAACTCAGTAGAATTATGCTAAATGACATTAGTTTCTTGTATTTTCAATTGGAAAGCAGATATTTTTGTGGTCTACAAAATCTAGTCATTTTAGTTAGAAATGGTGCGTGACGGCTGTGCAGTACTGGAAATAAAAAAATGCATCATAATGCTCTTCATGAAGTAATATTACATATACAGTGAAATTGCAAGAATATGAAGAGCTGATAAACCTTTGAGGCTGAAACATTTATTTACACTGTACAGATCATAATCCAAATTATATTGATGTACTAATACACAATACATGTTCGTGGCACTATTTATTGTGTGCAAACATGATGATATGGCTTTGGAAGATGAATTCTGCAAATAGAATTATTTGTAAAGCCATTTTTAAGCAATTTTTTGGAATCTACTTTAAATTGGAAATAAGAGGAGTCCGTTGTAATGGATTAAGATTGGTGTCGGGAACTTCTCATCGCATCCAAATGTATATTACCGAATAAAGTGATAAACCTTACCTCAATTTTAATGTGTAATGTATAACAACAAAATGGTGTAAGGCCATTGCCGTATATTTTTGAGCGAAAATCCTTCCGTGTAAACTTTCTATATAACGACAATTGCCTATCTTCACTTACATGTTAGGCTAGCATTTCTGATGCTTTTATTTATATATTCATTATATTTTTGGTTTGCATCACGTTAGAAGGACCGGAGTCAGACAAGGATGCTCACTCTTCCCTTTTATCTTTCTGATGGTTGAAGACCTCCACAACTTTGGGGAAGCAGATGAACTACCCCTTCTATTCCATACTTACGAGCATATACAAGTAAAGAAAACTACTTTAGCTGAAGCTTCTACATCGGTAGGCTTCAACATACACAAGGAAAAAAGTCAAGATCCCCAAATACAACAGGAGGAACACCAATCTAATCACACTCGATGAAAATGCTCTGGAAGAGGTTACAACTTTCACACGCTTGGCAAGCATAATCTATGAAAAAAGAGGTTATGATACAGACGTAAAAGCAGGAAACAGTAAAGCAAGAACAGCATTCTTACAACAGAAGAACATATGGAACTCAAAACAACTGTCAATCAATATAAAGTCACAATCTTCAATACGAACATCAAGACAATTCTACTGTACGCAGCTGAAACGTAGAGAACTACAACAACCGTGAGATAATTAGGAGTGGTTGAATTATAGTGGGAACTAGAAATCCCAGAAATAACTCAATTTTGCTGAGAAGTACTAAATGGGAACGAATTATAAATCAAGCAGTCATTAAGTACAAAGGAATCATTGGTTCATACAGACACCACAAACCGACATAAAAATATGCAAGTATTAGTAACCAAGTAGGAGCTTCCAAATCTCGATACTGTGTGTTCATTGGCCTCCCTATTTTCATTCCATCTTGAAGATCACAAGTTAGCACATGTCTCTTGATGCGATTTGAATGAATTTTCCAACCACTCAAAACGAATTCTTGCAATTTTCTATTCCGCTGGAAGCTGGTTTGTTCACTTGAGGTCAGTGTACGACAAATACCCCAACCTTAAATTGCATATTTAACTGGAAACCATCTCCTTACTTTTAATGCCTAACTCTAACCTTTTACCATCATAAGTGTGTAGTGGCCTACTTTTTCCAAGTGAACGCGATTGGTATAATGGAAACAATTATTATTATAACCAATTGTTCCAGTGACTGTTTTGCTGTGCTTGTTTGTTTAACCGTACTAGGAACGTGCATTCTCTCGTTGACTGTGACCTTGCACTTTCTCGGTAACGCTCGGTAGTTCCACTTGTACTCTTTGGCACGAACTCGGTGTTCTTTCGATACCACGAGATTGTCAACAAATATATTTTATAAAGACCGCCAGTTGTCTTCCGGTCTTTGGCCTGTGAAGGGGTCTAACGCAGTAACTGACAAAGAGTTTCAGTGTAGTGGTGATCATAGTCAACTACGACTCGACACCACGCTACAACCCTAAAAGTGATGTCAGTCAATGATGAAATTCCTGTAGATTGAAAACCTCAACTAAAAATAATGCAAGCTTGACTTTCTTCCTTTACTACAAATGATAAGTTGGCACGTGAACGTCGAAACCCGTATTACCCTATTATTTTAATTTATTTTATTGTTATTGTTCTGTAACCATTCAGCGTTTCTTGATTGATAGATGACCCACTACAAATCTTCACTGTATTATACTTCAACCGAAAGATTTTCAAATGGATTATATTTGTGGTGGAAAAGATAGGGATGAACTTGTTTCATCTTTTATTGAATAGAAAGCTCATCAATGATGTGTAGTTGTGACATATATAAATGTGTTAAGATTTTTCAAATAGCAAACATCGTTAGAAATATGATGTCATACAGACATCTTCGAATCGGAGAAGAATAATTCCATCATACGAGAATGCTTTATTACTTTATTTATATTTATGATACACTCCTTAATGTTGAGTACGTTTTTTGAGGTTTACATAATTTCCAATGTCTTCGTTATATGTGTCACCAAAGAATATGATTATGCAGTATTTACATGCCAGGAAGACTATAGTTATTGGAGCCTCTGAAGCCTGGCATGTGTGGATGTAATATACCTTCCAATATGATCATGGACAGATGAGAAGTAGAAAGTTTCTGTTTGAGTTCTCCTAAAATCGTAGTCATATTGGTACTACTGGAATTAGCTATGAAGTTGAGTGGCAGTTTTGAGAAGTGTGGTTAGCCACAGAGTGGATGTGCCGAGTTGGTACCGAAAGTTGAGACAACACACTATTCGCTCGATGTGCTTTATGAAGGGGTTTGAAATAGAGACGATGCAACCAGCAAATGGTATTTGAGTGCAAGTTCAGCTAGTTGTAGGTCGCCTCTTTAGTAATCCAGATTTAGATGATCGTATTTGTTTTGGAATAAATTTTCATATCATTCCTTCGGTGGTAAATGTTAAAGTTGGTACTCATTCTAATATCATTGGAAGTTCGCCTGTATTAATGATATAATTTCAGTTGATGTAGCAGACATCGTTTTTTGTTCATAAGTTTACCTTCTATGAAATTTTCTACTGCTCATTATCTTCTGGCCTAACTAAAACATACAAATGAGTGCCTCACGTCGCAACTCCGATACGAAAGATCGAACGTCATTAGTTTCAATACTTCAACTTCGCTAACATACTGTGATCGTAATTTATTCTAATTTATAGTGGACCGTATGACTGACTGAACTGACAACTGTGTTGAATGTCGATGTTATAAATACATTTATAGCGAAGCTGGATATTTGTGGTGTTTGTATGAACTAACGATTCCTTTGTACTTGTTGAATGCTTGATTTCGGATTCCAAATACAGTACATTTGTTCGTGCTTCTCTAGCAATTCTATATTAAATTGCGTTATTTCTGGGATTCCTAGTTTGTACTACTGTATACATGGAGGGATTCTGACACACTTTCGAAATAGATCTTACAATGCCGTTCTTCGAACTTACTCCCCTAGTGCACATTCTGTGCTTATTACAGATGCATTACCTGTGAGTATTGGCGCAGTTTTGGAGCAGGGAAGTAGACCAGTCATTTGTGTTTCACTCAAACTTGTATGAACTAACGATTCCTTTGTACTTGTTGAAAGCTTGATTTCAAACTTCAAATACAGTACATTCGTTCGTGCTTATATAGTACTTCTATATTAAATTGCGTTGTTTCTGGGATCCCTAGTTTGTACTATTACTCGAACACTGCCAATTATCATAATATGTTTAGTGTTTCGATTACAAAGAAAGGCGTTTGCATTTGTTGTCATTACGTTTTGGGACCTATGTCAAGTTGTATTAGTAAGACCGTTTTTTAGGTGAGACAGAAGTCGGTATATAATGTCTAAACAGTTGAAGATTAGTGCAAAATCGGTCTGTCACCCACTAGATTTATTCCACAGACTGAAAATGCTGCTGAAGCCAATGGACTCTTGTCGTCTACTTGTACGTGATTCTAACTGTAAACAAGTCAGCCTGAAATATGTTATACAGTCAATTCCACATTTATACTTGCAAAACCGAGCAGAATGTTATTGAGCTTGTCAAAATAATGTCAGAAATCCGAACATACTATTAATAAGAATGTTTGAATAGCTTAAACATCAAGAAATGACGTAACACATATTATGGCTTACAGATATTGCCTCACGACGTTGGCTAGGGGATTGAAATACTACAGCTCTATAATTTTCGACATGTAATCATCTTCTGACCAAATAACGATCGAAGTACAGACATCAAAAACTTGAATGTCAACACCAACCGGGGTAATGAAGATCCACTTATGAGAACCAGACAATGGGATTTCAATGCGAATAAATAAGTGGCAATAGTTCAACAATTCAACTTCGTAAACTTACGAATGACTCGAAAAATGTGTCTATTATTTGAGCGAAAGGAAAAAGTTGGGGGAAATAACTTCTCTACGTAAACCATTCTTCCCACTCCATCCTCATATTGCAAAATAAAGACTAAAAACTGCATGGAATAAAAGTTCCAGGATGGATGTAAAAGCTTCTTAAATACACCACAAATTTAGGGCATACCTTTTTACATTCGGTTAGAT